GGAAAGAAAGCTGATATTCAAGGTAACAGCTCTGATGGCTTCATACCATAGGAGTCTTGAGCTGGTTCCAAAGACTTCTCACTGAAGACTTCTGTGTCACTTTCACTGACTTGAGACTTCTGTACAGCTCTAACTTCAGAAGACAAAACCACTTGTTTTGATAAAAACAACATTTTGTGAATTTATCTTATTTCACATACTAAAGTGGTGAGTAGAACAAAAAAAAAACAAAGCATTTTTAAGTATAAATTGCATTCTATTATGAAATCTATTTTCTACTCACTTTGTATGCCCAAATCAATCTCATCAAGAGATTTGCCTTTGTAGACCTCAGTTCCACGTTCGACTGCCATGAGCAGCTTGCTCATCTTTGCAAGCTGAAGTGTAAGACACCATCTTAGATGAAAGTGGAGTGAGGGAAGATAAAGTGAATTAGTATCTTCCAGCTTCGTACTGGCTGAACACACCTGAGCCAGGTAATCAGCAGCAGGTCAGGCAGGGATAGTTGGAAAACAAGCAGGACAGCGGTGGAATTGCCCACCCCTTGGCCACCCCTGATCTAAGGGCTCTATCTCAGTCCTTTGGATGTGATATTTACATTGCTGCAGTTCAGTTTTGTGAATGTTTGGAGTACTGAAATTGTTGCAACTTAAATAGTTCAAATGAGGTTTGAAGCAGATGGAATATGTAAAAAAAACAAACAAACAAAAAAAAAACTGTAAAATATATGTAGTATAACTCATCCAGAAATGATAGTGTTTTTCAACCTTTTAGTTTAATATAAATCAGCGCAAAGCAGGAACTGATGCTGTTAAACTAGATGTGGATTATTCATTTTAATTATCAGTTGCGGTATGTTTTGAAGAGAAATAACCAATAAAATATATCTTGACAACTCTTTGTTATTTTGACATGAATATGGAAACTGTTGAGCATAACATAAACATACAGTCACTGACCATGGGGTCTCATCTGAAAAGATATGTACAGAAAACACTGTGAACCAAGACCCATTGTAAACTCAAACACAATCCTGCAAATTCTTCAACAGAACATTTTGCTACATTCTATGCCATTTCCTCATCCTCTACTTCCTTATAACAGCCCAAATCCTGTGTGACATGTGCCAATACAGGCAAGAAGATCCCTTTGGAAAGACTGGTAACTGTTATAGTGTTGTGGGACTCGAAGGGTTTCATAGAGATCCTGTGGTCCCCAAACCGGACTCCCTCCAGCCCCTGGCTGCACCTAGAAATTCTGTCCATAAAAATAATGAACAGACCCGGTGACAAAGGGCAACCCTGCCGGAGTCCAACATGCAACAAGAAACAAGTCTGACTTACTGCCGGCGATGCGAACCAAGCTCCTGCTCCAGTCGTACAAGGACCGAACGGCCCTTAGCAAAGGGCCTCGGGCCCCGTACTCCCGGAGCACCCCCCACAGGGCGCCACGAGGGACACTGTCAAATGCCTTCTCCAGATCCACGAAACACATGTGGACTGGTTGGGCAAACTCCCATGAACCCTACCCCACCCTGAAGAGGGTATAGAGCTGGTCCACTGTTCCACGGCCAGGACGAAAACCGCATTGTTCCTCCTGAATCCGAGGTTCGACTATTGGTGGAATTCTCCTCTCCAGTACCCTGGCATAGACTTTCCCGGGGAGGCTGAGGAGTGTGATCCCCCTATAGGTGGAACACACCCTCCGGTCCCCCTTCTTGAAAAGAGGGACCACCAGCCCGGTCTGCCAGTCCAGAGGCACTGTCCCCAACTGCGATGCGATGTTGCAGAGGTGTGTCAGCCAAGACAGACCCACAACATCCAGACACTTAAGGTACTCAGGGCAGATCTCATCCACCCCCGGTGCCTTGCCACCAAGAAGCTTCTTAACTACCTCGGTGACTTCAGCTTGGGTGATGGAAGAGTTCACCTCTGAGCCCTCAGCCTCTGCTTCTTCATCGGAAGACATGATGCTGGGGTTGAGGAGATCCTCGAAGTATTCCTTCCACCGTCCGACGATGTCCCCAGTTGAGGTCAACAGCTGCCCACCTCCACTGTAAACAGTTTTGGCAGGGCACTGCTTCTCCCTCCTGAGGCACCGGACGGTTTGCCAGAATTTCGTCAAGGCCGACTGATAGTTCCTCTCCATGGCCTCACCGAACTCTTCCCAGACCCGAGTTTTTGCCTCCACAACCACCCGGGCTACAGTCTGCATGCATTTAATGCAACATTAGTTGAAGGTGAGGATCAAGCTCCAGGTGTTATAA